AAAATCATTGGAGACGACCGTACAACTCATATCAAAAATTCCAATGTGATCCTCCAAAACAAACATCTTATACACACTATTTCAGAAATCAAAGAAATAAACCCTGCCAACAACCCATTACTGATTGCAAGCCCAAACATCACGCTTGATGCTCCCATGACCAAGATCGCACACCACTCCAGACATCCTGCCATCTGGAAACACCTACCTGTCTGGGAATCCATCATTACAGATACCTGGGTACTGTCCATCATCTGCAACGGCTACCCTATCCATTTCCAACTTCCTCCGGTAATACACGTCATCTCTCCACCATCTCCAACTCTACAAGCGGAAATAAAAAATTTACTCCTCAAAGACGCCATATAACCCATCTCACAACACAGCAAAAGGTTTTTCTCTCACTGTTTCACCGTACCCAAAAAGGACGGGGGTCTACAAAAGGTTTTTCTCTCACTATTTCACCGTACCCAAAAAGGACGGGGGTCTTCACCCTATCTTAGACCTACAAGAGTTAAACAAATACATCATTACCACAAAGTTCTATATGGTTACCCTCAAATCAGTTCTCCCTTTACTCCACAAAAACAACTGATTAACTGTTATAGATCTCAAAGACGCATACTTCCATATTTCCATACATCCCTCACACAGAAAATTCCTTCAATTTCAGCTAGGATCACAAGCCTACCAATTCAAAAGTCTTTCTTTCAGCCTTGCTACAGCTCCAAGAATATTCACCAAGTGTATGGCACCGGTAGCTGCTTACCTCAGGTTGCAAAAAAGTCTCATATTTCTATATATTGATGATTGGATCCTTGTAGCTCATTCCCGTCGCAAGGCCCAATGAGACACTTCACCCTTACCCTCCTTCACGATCTCAGTCTCACTGTCAACGAACAAAAATCAAATTTGAAACCTACACAAATTAATCATTATATAGGCGCATGCATAGATTCCACACAAGCTTGCGCCTTTCTTCCTCCAGACAAGAGAGAAAATCTCATTGCACTACTTTGAGTTTTCACACACACCCCATGCTATGGTACCTGCTTTGACTGTGCAGCGTATACTAGGCACCATGGCCTTTATAACTTCAGTAGTGCAGCACGTACATCTCAAGATGAGATCTCTTCAGTCCTGGCTTCTTACCCTCTTCGGCCCGCTCACAGACCTTCCTTACACACTTTTAAGGGTCACCCCAGCACCCGCCTCCCAACTTCAGTGGTGGCGTTTTCCTCCCAACCTATCCGTCAGGCAGCCGTTCCGACAACCACAACCACAAATAAAGGTCACCACCGATGCCAGCCTCACAGGCTGGGGAGCTCACTGCAGATCTCTCAAAATCCACACCAAGTGGTCTTCCAGAGAGAAATTGCTTCCCATCAACAAATTAGAGCTGTTGGTGATTATAAAAGCTTGCAAAGCTTTCAGAAATCTCCTCACTAGCAAGATTGTAACAATTGCCACTGACAACACCACGGCAATGTACTATACAGTCAACCCTCGACTTACAAACGGCTCGAGTTACAAACATTTCGACTTACAAACCACTCTGATAGAAAAATATTGACTCGACTTGCACACTTAGATTC